CCCCAAAATCCCCTGAGACCCCTCCTGGACCCCTCAAGTCCCCCAAGACCCCTCTTGGGCCCCCCCAAATCCCCCGAGACCCCTCCTGAGCCCTCCAAAGGCCTCAAGACACCCCAAAATCCCCTGAGACCCCTCCTGGACCCCTCAAGTCCCCCAAGACCCCTCTTGGGCCCCCCCAGATCCCCCGAGACCCCTCCTGGGCCCCCCAAAGGCCTCGGGACACCCCCAAATCCCCCGCGACCCCTCCCCAAGGCCTCGTCCTCCCCTCTCGGGACCCCCCGAACCCCTCAGGGCTCCTCCGCGCCCCCTCCCCGCCTCCTCCCCGGGGCTCCCCGCCGCGCCCTCACCGTTCCAGGGTGGCGGCGCCCATTTCTCGGTGGCTTTGCTCGGGTACATGATGGCCCCGGCGAATTGCTGCGCCCACTCCATGTCCGGCTGCCACTGCCGCCACCTGCGGCACCGGCCCCGGTGAGCGCGGGGGAAACACCCATAACCTCCCCAGAGCCCCCCGCTGCATCCCCCGCGTTCTCACCGGGCCGGGGCCGGGCCCAGCCGAGCTCCCGCCGCCCTCAGCCCTGAGGGGCCGCGGAGCCGCCACAGCGCCCGCAGCGCCGCCATCGTGCCCTTGGTAAATGCGCATGCGCGGCGCCGCCACGTTGGCTACGGGCAGAAGCCGCGCGCGCCGCCATGTTGGGTACGGGCGCACCCGCGCGCCCTCAGCCTTTTGGCATTGCGCATGCGCAAAGTGGACCCTGCGCTGCCGGGCAGGGGAGGCTGAGAGTGCCGCCATGTTGGTGTGGCCGTCGTGGTGTCTTTGGCCGCTGCTGTGGGCGGGAAGGGAGGAGGGAACGAGCGTCGCTTCGTGGGGTGTGGGAAGATGCGTCGCCATCGTGCGCTTGGCAGTGGCTGGGAAGGGTAGGGGCGGCTATGAGCGCCGCCATGATGGGTGTGGGCAGACGCGTTGCGCATGCGCAGACACGCCATGACGGGTAAAGTCTCTAGTGCCGCCATGATGGGTGTGGGCAGACGCGGTGCGCATGCGCAGAGACGCCAATGGTGGAAAAGGCGCTGGTGCCGCCATGATGGGTGTGGGCATGTCCCCATGTCCCCGTGTCCCCGTGTCCCTCTGTCCGTCTCTCCATGTGCTCCATGTCCCTCTGTCCCCATGTCCCTGTGTCTCTGTGTCCTTCATGTCCTTGTGTCCCTCTGTCCCCTTTTCCTCATGCCCTCCATGTCCCATGTCCCCATGTCCTCCATGTCCCTCTGTCCCCTTTTCCTCATGTCCTCCATGTCCCATGTCCTCGTGTCCTCCATGTCCTCGTGTCCCCATGTCCTCCATGTCTGTGTCCCTTTTTCTCATGTCCTTTGTGTCCCTGCGTCCTCAGGTCTCAAGATATGTGGCCCCATATCTTGGTGTCCCTGTGTCTCCTGTCCCTGTGTCCCCCTGTCCCTTGTCCCCTGTCCCTTGTCCCTGTGTCCCCATGTCCTTCCTGTTCCCACGGCCCTGTTCCCACGTGTCCCCATGTCCTCTGTGTCTCCATGTCCCCAGGGTCTCTGTGTCCCCATGTCCTCGTGTCCCTCTGTCCCCATGTCCTCAATGTCCCTGTGTCCCTTTTTTCTCGTGTCCTTTGTGTCCCTGCGTCCTCAGGTTTTGTGTCCCCGTGTCCTCATGTCCCCATGTCCCGTGTCCCCGTGTCCCCATGTCCCCCTGTCCCCCTGTCCCCGTGTCCCCGTGTCCCCACATTCTCTGGGGTGCCACCACCGCCACCCAGTCCATTGTCCCCTCCCCTGTCCCTGCTCAGCGCTCTGGTCCCCTCCCCGTGCTCAGGGTGGGGACACCGGGGACAGGGTCACGTGACCGGGGTGGGGACACGGGGGGGTGTCACAGGGACACGTGACAGGGGTGGGGACACGGGGGGGGTGTCACACGGTCACGTGACCGGGGTGGGGACACCGGGGGTGTCACGGAGCCCTTGGGGACAGGGACACGTGGCCCTGAGCGCCACACGTGGCGCGGACACGCCCCTCCACACCCTGGCCCCGCCCTCCGTCCCGCACACCAATCACAGCGCGTCCCCCTCGTGACGTCACACAAAAGGCGGGGGAAATACGCGGAAGCGGCGGCGACTCGGCGTGGTTGCCATGGCGACGGCGCCAGCAATGGCCGCGCCCCCTCGGGGCGGAGCCGCCACAGACCACGCCCCCTCTCCGTCTCCTGCGGCTCTCCCGGGTCATTCCGGGCCCCGCTCCCCTCCCGGGGCTCACCGAGCGCCACCGGCGCCCCCCGCGCGCTCCCGGGACCCCTCACGGACCCCCCCGGTGCCCCCCGCCCTCCCCGCGCGTGACCCCGCCGCGGGCCCGCCTCGTGACGTCATCACGCCGCGCCCTCCGCTCCAAGATGGCGGCGGGCGGGCGGGGCTGAGCCGGGCCCAGGCTGGGACCGGGACCGGGCCCGGGCGAACCGGGGCCAGGGAGAGGGGCGGCCGGCAGGGCGGAACCGGGCCCGGCAGCTCCGGGCCGGACACAGTCGGGCCCGGGCAGGTACCGGAACCGGGTGGGGACAGGACCGGGACCGGGGGCCAGCAGGTACCGGGAGCACGCGGGGAGCGGGACCGGACTGGGCTTGAACCGGGATCAGAACCGGACGAGCAGCGAGAAAGAACCGGAACCAGGCAAATACCGAGAGAGAGCAGTGCCCAAACCGAGCATTCCCCGGTACCGAACCAAAAAACCGAACTCATCCCGGCCTTTCCCCGGTACCGGAACCGAAGTGATCCGAACCCTCCCGGTGTCCCCTCGCCATGCTGCCCGCTACCCCCGCCACGCTGCCCGGTACCCCTGGGGCGGCTCCGCGGTAAAACCGGGGCGGTTCCGGGTAAAACCGGGGCGGTTCCGGGTAAAACCGGGGCGGTTCCCGCTAAAACCGGGTCGGTTCCGGGTCAAACCGGGGCGGTTCCGGGTAAAACCGGGTCGGTTCCCGGTACCCCTTGGGTGTCTCCGTGGTAAAACCGGGTCGGTTCCGGGTAAAACCGTGTCGGTTTTGGTCAAACCGGGTCGGTTCCGGGTCAAACCGGGTCGGTTTTGGTCAAACCGGGTCGGTTCCGGGTAAAACCGGGTCGGTTCTGGGTACAACTGGGCAATTCCTGGTAACACCCGGCAGCTCCCGGTCCCACCGGGTCGATTCCCGGTCCCGCCGGTTGTCTATTCCCGGTCCCACCGGGTTGGTTCCAGTCAAACCAGATCGATTCCCGTTCCCACCGGCTGTCTCCGGTTCCCACCGGGTGTTTCCCGGTCCCACCGGTTGTCAATTCCCGTTCCCCCCGGCCGTCTCTGTTCCCCAGCTGTCTCTGTTCCCCGGCTGTCTCGGTTCCCCCCGGCTGTCTCGGTTCCCCGGTTGTTCCCCGGTTGTTTCCCGGTTCCCCGGCCGTCTCGATCCCCGGTTGTCTCCGGTTCCCCCCGGCTGTCCTGGTTCCCCAGTTGTTTCCGTGGCTGTCTCGGTTCCCCGGTTGTTTCCTGGTTCCCTGGTTGTTCCCTGGTTGTCCCGGTTCCCCCGGCTGTCTCTGTTCCCCGGTTGTCCCCGGCTGTTCCCGGCTGTTCCCCAGCTGTCTCTGTTCCCTGGCTGTGTCTGTTCCCTGGTTGTTCCCTGGTTGTTCCCGGCTGTTCCCTGTTTGTTCCCAGCTGTCCCCGGCTGTTCCCGGCTGTCTCAGTTCCCCGGCTGTCCCCAGCTGTCTCAGTCCCCGGCTGTCCCCAGTTGTTCCCGGCTGTTCCCGGCTGTTCCCGGCTGTCCCCGGCTGTTCCCGGCTGTGTCAGTTCCCGGCTGTGTCAGTTCCTGGCTGTTCCCGGTTGTCCCCGGCTGTGTCAGTTCCCGGCTGTGTCAGTTCCCGGCTGTGTCCGTTCCCGGTTGTTCCCGGTTGTTCCCGGCTGTTCCCGGCTGTGTCAGTTCCCGGTTGTTCCCGGTTGTTCCCGGCTGTTCCCGGCTGTCTCAGTTCCCGGTTGTTCCCGGCTGTTCCCGGCTGTTCCCGGCTGTGTCAGTTCCCGGCTGTCCCCGGCTGTCCCCGGCTGTCCCCGGCTGTGTCAGTTCCCGGTTGTTCCCGGCTGTTCCTGGCTGTGTCAGTTCCCGGCTGTTCCCGGCTGTCCCCGGCTGTGTCAGTTCCCGGCTGTGTCAGTTCCCGGCTGTCCCCGGCTGTTCCCGGCTGTTCCCGGCTGTCCCCGGCTGTCCCCGGCTGTGTCAGTTCCCGGGATGCTGCGGCGGCTCCCGGAGCGGCCGTGCTCGCTGGCGCTGTTGCTGGCTTGCCAGCTGGCGTTCGTGGCCTATTTCTCGCTGGGGGGGTTCCGGAACCTGACGGCGCTGCTGGGCCGCGGCACCGGGCCCGCCGTGGATTATTCCAGAACGCACGATGTCTACGCCAACCTCAGCCGGCTCGGAACCGGCCGCGACGGAACGCCCGACCCCGCCAGGCCCCTGCCGTACTGCCCCGAGAGATCGCCTTTCCTCGGTACGGGAACGCCCGGAACCGGGAGAAACGGCAACGGGAGAAACGGCAACGGGAACCGGGAA